ATGCATGTTGTTTTGCTGTGCCTTTTTAAAAGGTCCATTGTGCATTTAAGGTTTTCTGTGCACTTAAGGTTTCCTATAGCAGTCCTTAAGTGCACAGAAACCTTAAATGCACAATGATGTCTTAACCCCTCCCTGGACCCTCTTGGCTGTTTTGGCTGGTGCAGAGGCCCCACCTGATCCCTTTGACCATGTACAACCCCCTCTAGACTGAAAATTTCATTCACTCTCTCTCCCATTTCAGCCTAGCTGGGCCACTTCCTCGGCGCGTCAAAGGCGGACAGTCAGTGTGCACCACAGAGGTTCTGCCAGCTGCCCAGGAGAGCTTCATCCAGCCCCAAGCACCCCAGGGGACTGGTAGGAAATGAAATGCATGTTGTTTTGCTGTGCCTTTTAAAAAGGTCCATTGTGCATTTAAGGTTTTCTGTGCACTTAAGGTTTCCTATAGCAGTCCTTAAGTGCACAGAAAACCTTAAATGCACAATGATGTCTTAAGCCCCTCCCTGGACCCTCTTGGCTGTTTTGGCTGGTGCAGAGGCCCCACCTGATCCCTTTGACCATGTACAACCCCTCTAGACTGAAAATTTCATTCACTCTCTCTCCCATTTCAGCCTAGCTGGGCCGCTTCCTCGGCGTCAAGGCGGACAGTCAGTGTGCACCACAGAGGTTCTGCCAGCTGCCCAGGAGAGCTTCATCCAGCCCCAAGCACCCCAGGGGACTGGTAGGAAATGAAATGCATGTTGTTTTTTGCTGTGCCTTTTATTTTAAAGCATCGTAGAGAGCCTTCAGTGCTGACTGAATCAAATGACAGCAGTGATTGGATGATTTTATGTTGTTAAAATGTGCATTCATCCAGTAATTAAAACTAACTATATTTTTCAATGTGTAGTTGCTTCTTTTTTAACCTGATTGCTTCTGCAGAATTTGTGCAGAGATATTTTCAAGTAGGTTACATTTTGGTGCGAAACTGGGGTCGGCGCTTTTCACACTCCTGTATTACTCCTCTAAGTTTTACCATGACCGGAAGGAAAATAGGAGAATGTAGTGCCTTGTTTAAATGCACTGATTTGTCTGTGCTAATTTATTCAGGGTGACTTGTGACAGCTTAAATGAAAGATCAGACATTTTACTTTATTGCCATTTGTTTTGTCCTCAATCTGCACATGCTATTGACTCCAGCCTTTCATGATTTGACCCCAAGTTCAAGGCTGTTTAGTGTATTTCAGCTCGAAAATTCCGGTGACCGTTGTTGACAGTGGATACAGCAAAATTGAAATGCTCGATCCAGACCGATATTTTGCTGGGTAAGTGAGAAGTAGTATGTTGGTCAGCATGCCACAGGATAGCCTAGGACAGATATTAATTATGGTGCTCTGGCCATGGCATGTCACTGTAGATAGTAAAGTGGTCTGAGGCTATATGTACTACATGTATTGGCTGTTAACAGCCTGGTTGTTTTTAATGTTGCTTTGGAAGTTAATGGGAAAACATTTGATTTTGTGCAACATGTAAAGGTGAGTGCACATTTTAGTAATTCATACATTACATGTATATGCTTTCCTATTTATGTTTCACCATGGATACAAGTTGGCATTGTTATAGAGACTAATTTAAGGGAGTGAAGCTCGGGCTGCTTGAGTTGAATGGATTGTTTTAGTGGCCTTGATTTGAATGTAGCCTCGATTTGTGGTCTAACAGTGACAAGAGCCCACATGGTAATAGTTACCTGGCTTCTAAATTTGTTGAAACCGATGAATTGACAACAAATTAGGATAAAGTCACCACTGACACAATTTGGGTGTCTGTGTGTAAAGTCATATGATATGAGTATTGTGAGTATGAAATGTGTTCACTGCTGATGGCACAATATGTCACAAAACCCTCTTATTTTAAGTAAACAGTGTTGCATATGATCCATTCTTTCTGTTACACCCTTTTTGCATATGAATAAACTTTTTTCTCTCATGACTTTCAAACAATTATTTAGTTTCTCAAAACTGTCTCATGGCTGTTATGGTCTTTATGATTGAACATTTAATATGATCTTGACACTATTTTCAGCTTGGAGAATGACTGATGGTGACTGGGGAGGTGTATCTTTGCACATACAGCAGAATCAGAAGCCTTCACATCCAATGTTGTGTTTCAACAAGTCGGTCTGATGTTGGCAGTGTGTGCACCCTCCTTTCACCTTGATATCCTCTACCACCTTGAACAAGTTGTGGTACTTGAACATGTAGGTACATACAGTACATTTAAGTGCCCCAGTCCAGTGAAGGCTGTATCTCAAACCTCATCCATTAGATATTTCTGATGAATAATAATCACTTTTGGGCATTTTTTTTATTTCATGGAAGTATTTCGAAGTCTTAGCTTGATGAATTGATAGACTCATGTGTAATTTCGTTTCATGCTGTGGTCTCAAAGAGCTTTCATCTGTTGAAATTTCAATTTCTTGGCTTTAACAGGCAGTAGGGTTCTTTGGTCAGTGTTTCACATTGCTAGGCATATTCCAACCCCTTACTTTATACTTTCTGGCAAAATTCATTATTCAGCCTTACATATGTCAGGACTTTAAAGCTGTTTATGGTGACCCTGGCCAATTTCTGGCCTGAATTCTGTGCTTTCTAACTTTCAACAATGTTTCTGATTCCTCTCCACTTAGATCACCAGCCTACATCAAAGATGCTTACACTAATGACTTTGGGGATAAATTAAAGATCAGACACTGGTGTTAGCCCTCTCATAAATGGTTTATCAAACCTGGACAGTTGTTTGTTTACAATATAAACAATGCAGGAGTGTGTGTTGAAACAGTTTTAAACTATCTCAATCACATCAGGTCATGAGTATCAAAACCATATTCTATTAATGTAGCAGACTCTGCTATGATTTGATGATGTCAGCAGAGGAAGGCAAACAACTGACCATTAATGAACAGGGAGTTGCATAGTTACTAGTTTTGAGGTTTAAAGATTTTCTGTCATTCGAAATATGATGTTGCGTGAAATTATCCCATGACACTCTTTTTTTGTGACAAATGAATAAACTCCCATGGTATCTGTATGATTATAAAACATTCTATATTAATGCAGAAATACATTTTGCAAAACATTAATGAAATAGACATAATTTATCTCTTACAGGTCTTTCAGTGTAACAAAACTCTCTGTATCTTGTGCCATATAGACATGTTGGACAGGGAAAAGTATTGAAGCTTCATCCAATTCTTTAAAAAAAAAATTTAAGTGACATATTTTTTAAGTGATATGTACACATATACAGGGCATGGTTCCCAGGTTCGATTCCCCACATGGATGAAGCCCATTTCTGGTGTCCCCTGCCGTGATATTGCTGGAATATTGCTAATTGCGGCATAAAACTAAATTCACTCTCTCACTCACATGTACACATACAGTACATAAATCACAGATTTGCCTAGTGCAGATGTCTCCATTTTTTTCAACATTAAGACCTTTCTGTACGTTTAAGGGCAGCTGCAGAAGGGGTCATAAGTACACCTATAAACATCACATAGGAAGACAAGGCATTATTGACTTAAGTAGTTTAGTGATATTTCATGCAACATGTAAGTGCATGTAAGTATGCATTTCATATTTCATATTTATAATAACCTGAAGATTACAGCAAAATATATGAAAAGGAAGCACCAGCTGTTTATCACCTAAATAATTTTCTTTTGCAAACTGCTTTGGAGACTACCACATGTGAAATATTATTTAGTTGCCATGTCATTTACCCTGTTCAATGTTAGAGCATGTAAAACACATTTTGGACCAAAGGCCATTTTGGATGTATTCGACTAGGTGTGGTGAAAGTCTGACAATATAATTATGTTCACAGCTGAGTTGGCTAGATCACTGACTTTGTATGTTGGCGATTTGGTGGAGAGAGTCGGTTAAAATCCTGGATGGGACTGAACCCCAAACATGTCTAGAATGTGTATTTTACTGAGAAAGTGTAATCTTGCATATAACATGGATTCATGTGTACAACTTGTATAAATGTGATATGTTTTGACAATTATTATGTATATTGAAGAAAGGATTTAATGGATTTGAAGGACTTGGATAATATATGTTTCTTTTCCATTTTAAAAGGCTTAATAATTATTATGATTACCATTAATACATCACTGAGATGTACTATCACTTCAACAAGTAATCCATCCTAACTTAGTAAGTACAGAACCTAGCCTTTGTTTCTTAGTTAGAAGATAATTGTTAGTCATGTTAGTGTCTCATTTGCCCTAATTCATAATCAGCCACATATTAAGAATAGGCAGCAGCTGAACTATTTGGGTGTGATTACATCTTGATATGGTATGTTAATAATGGTGTGCATTAATATAGTGTTCAGTGACTGTTTATGTGTTTCATATGTGTTTATTATGTTATAATCTATTGTGCAGTGATATGTTCATTGTACCATACTGTCAGTATGTTTACCCAAATAAACTCTAAAGAGTAATCTTAATGCTGATGAGGCAACCACATTAAAATATGTTTTACCTCAGTTTGGTTTGTCTTATTCTTTTCTTTTTTTTGTGGAATAACACTCCAGATAGAATAAAGAGGGTCCTTGTGTGTACTTTTTGTATTGTATACATTTGTTAATAACTTTTGTAAGATGACTCAATAAATTATATAACATTATTAACATTAATCACATAATGTGAGATAAAATAGAAACAAACATATGAGATACAATTGAACCTAATGATGGATTTTGATGCATTTCAGGCACAACCTTCAAGAAATGGAAGCAATGGTGTTATTTCAAATGACATCATGACTGCCTTAGATTAAAACTTGAAGGAGGTGACATTCCCCAGAAAAGTAGGATTGTCAAGTTTTATCATTTTTGTAAGAAAATGAACAAGTTTGATTTACCTTTGAAAGAAATCCACAACCCTGTCCATGGAAAATACAGACTGGAAATTATTGATGGGGACAGGAAAATAGTGATTCCTCAGTCTGGACTTCTTAATGTCATATCCACAAATTTACACAGCGTTTGTTGGGTTCAGGATCCGAAATTCCGAAAATATAAGAACATTTATATTGATAAACCGGTATTATGCTGAAAAATTCTTAGGAATCCGTACAGGAGTTTATTGATAAGCAGGGTGACAGGCAATTGTTATCCCAAATTTCCTAATGAAGCAAATTTGAAACCTGATATAGAAAACACCAGTGGGGCAACATACCATTGACTTTGTGGATCAACTACATCTACCTTGAGTATGGATGGGGAAATCCAAGAATACCACAATGTGACCAAGGCTCTGAGTTTAAGTGAGCAGTCAACCAATTATTAGTGGTGGTCTGATTAATTGAAATAATCGAAGATTGGTCGCAGTGACTAAATGACCAAGCAATCGAAAATGTTTTCTCAAAATCGAACACAAGCAGTTTTGGAACACTTGTTTGCATTAACAATATTTTTTCACAAGGTTGGTTTGTCTGAGTCATTATATTTACATTTCATAAGCACTACAAGCTTGTTCCAAGTCATGATTGAATTTATCTTAAAGACTCCTGGAAATTTATGTTCCTCACATACTAGCCATCCTTTAAATATGTGAAGTATGAAAATGCATTTTGTGCAATTTACCCCAAACCCAAAGAACTACATGGTTTTTTTTTTGTAAATTATTTTGTGCATTAACAAAGGTAACAGGAACATTTGATAAATGATCCTAACCAATTATTTTCGATTATTGATCGGTTGTAATGGACCAATGATCAATTTTAACCAATTCCCAACACTACTAATTATGCATTGAAATGGGAACAATAATTGTCATAAGTCTTAACTCATCATCCCTAATATCAGGGAAGAGTAGGAGATAAATAACAAATAACATATATGGGATCTGAAATATGATATGTAATCTATAAAGGTCATGTCCATGGTTAAGGTCATAGATGTAAAGGCATCTTCCTGATGCTTGATATGAAGGAAATTATTGTTGGTGTAAGTTGGAACATATCAACATTAGGGCAGAGCCACAAACACAGAACAGATGTATTGGACTTGCAGGTTCCCACTCACTGGTCAGGCAATATATGCTCAGCTTTTTTTGTGAACCGTTGGTACCACCACAAACTGGTAGTAATTCATGAACACTGTATGCCATAGTCACAATCAGACAATTGACCCCACTTTTGTTAGGATTATAGAGATATTTTGCTAGTTTCATTTGCACATGCATGGCTGAAGATGTATTTGTTATTTTTCCATTGAGTGAATCAATGTATTTGACAGTTCACATCTTTCTGTCATGACACCTTAACAGGTATGCTCCTCTTTGGCAGTGTTATATACTGTAGTTAGACTTTTCTGTTTTGATGTTACATTTTAACCTCAATTGTCAAATAAGGCATTTTTAAGTTAAATCTCAACATCTGTGTCTATTTTGTGCATCCCTTCATGGTTACTCAGAAAACATCAACACATGGATGCAGTTATTATTTATATTATGGCATTAAAAACAAATGTTTGTGTGTATAAATAACTTCATATGTTTACAGGTTGTTCACCATACCATCCCATGTTGGGTTGCCCCCCCAGTCCAGATCAACAGTTTGTTGAGGAAAAGCTTGGAATTCAGTTGATGCCTATTCTTGCTGTGAAGAGGAGCAATCTGAACTGTATGCAGGGGCACTGTTGAATTTTTAGATTTAGCATTTAATTAGGCAAGTGGGCACATCTGTTATCCCATGTCATACAACAGTGCTGTATCTATATAGGTGAAAATAGATCCCCAGGAAAAAATCCCTATGTTGAGTCAGGTGACCAGGAGGTAGTCAGTCTTGGTAAACTAGTTTATGGTACAGCTGGAGTAGTCTGGGATGTTAATTATAATGCAGAGTCAATTATAAAGAAAGGTACAGCATCATACAAACATTAAAGGACTGATGAATGCTACATTATTATGATTATTATTATTATGAATTTATGACTTCAGTCTTTGCTGTCAAATGCAAAATCAGTCACTGAAAAGTACCAGGGTACCATTTCTAATTCATGGCATTACAAGGTATTGAAAGCTTTAAGAGTAGGGAGTGAGTGAAAGATTTCGGTGTAGTCATTATTATGTAACTTGTGCTCATATGCTTTAGGATTAATGGTATGTTCTCTTATGTTTACACTTCTGGTGATTTTATGCACCATTGAAAGGGAAAAGGATGTAGATTTCTGTGCCCTCTTGTTACTCTTTGCACAAAAGCTATGATTTAAAATCAGTTTGACAAAGTGTATTCATATTGTATCTTAACATTCCCATGTTTTTATGTATTTTTTATTTGTTCCCATAGTCAAAGGTATACAGTAACAACAAACACCGAAAAGGTGTAAAGATGTAATTATAATTTGTTGCTGAATATTGGCATGAGTGAATTCCATTTAAGACTTAAGACTGAATTTATCAATTTATTTATCAATTTCATTGTTTCCCTTGAAAATAAAGTTTTGAACAGAAAATATCTCTTTTGATGCCATTTTATATTTAATGAATTTTGGAATTGATTTTTTTAGATTTACTTAAATTGATATGTTTTTTGGCAGAGATAATGATTTGATTTAGTAATACATCATTATGTAATGTACCAAACCAAATCAAATATTTTGTAATGTTTATATTTCATGGTAAATAGTTATTTCGAGATCATTCCAGAATTTTATGGTTTCACAACAGTCCTAATAAGCACAACAAATGCTCTCAGAAACATCATTGCAAACTAACGGTAGACAAATCATTTTCAGTCAGGTTCATTTTGAATAATTATATTTTAGTATAAATAACTATTTGCAGAAATGTGTATTGAAAATAAAGAAGGTTAACATCTTTCAATACATGTCAATAGAAGTTGAAAATTTTGTGCCAATCAAATTCACAATCATTGAATATCATTTCCCATTTAGTACAAATCTCAAGTTTGTCATTTTTTAGAAATACACTTGTCATTAAGTAATCTTGAACCCTTTGAGAGCTTAATATATATTTTTTAAACTTATCCTATCTCACGGTATGCACCATCTCTCTCTTCTAAGACCATGTGTGGAAACGTGCTGTCAGCTAAGTTGAGTCAAATCTAACTGGCCTCTGACCCGCCCTGACCTCTGCCTTCACCCCAACATCAATGCCTGTCAATCATCCATCAAAGCGTGCGGCTCGCCTAAACGATCACATGACCACCTCTACTTGTCATTCTCTTTCTTGTCGCCACGCTGTGTGGACGTGTGTTGTGGATAAGAGAGGTTTTTGTTTGTGTTTTCTACTATGGGGAAAGCCAATCGTCACGCTTCAAAGAAACACAAACATTGTGATAGATGCAATAGTAACTATTCGGCAGCGGACCCTCATAACTCTTGCGTGGATTGCCATGAACGATGCAATTGGTCTAAACGTTGTAGTTTATGTGCTAACCTGGACGACGATGCATTCTCAGAGTATCGTCGGGTAGCTAGCAGGTGCAAGGCAGATAGAGATCGGAGGAATCCATCGGAAGGTCCATCGGAGCCGAAGTGTTCTAAATTAGATCGCCGAATAAAATCTGCAATACGTTCTAAATCCAAATCTCCTAAAGAAGATTTTCTGTGCTTCAACTGTTCTGACCCCATTCGTCTAGTTCTATTACTTTGGAAGATTCGTCACCTCCACGTATTGTTGTTTTGTCCACATCTGACATACAACCACGGCCATCCTTGTTGGTAAATGTGACTCAACGCCCTAATGGGTCAGAGGTTGCGACTACTCATACTATTACATCACAAGTGACGGTTACAGGTAGTGCGGCGCTTTCAACCAGAGCGGCGCTTACCTCGGGAGTGACGCTCTCATTAGGACAATTATATACGGGCAGAGCCCGCTTGTCACGGATCCCACGTGGCTACTCAGAGCGCCGCTCTCTTCCAGTGTGGCGCTTTGGATGGATTCGGCGCTTACTACCAGTTCGGCGCTTCCTACTGGTTCGGCGCTTAACCCTGGTATTCCTGGTTCGGTGTTTACTCCGGGTTCGGCGCTTCATGGTTTTGCGTTTCCTCCCAATGGTCCTGGTTTGACGCTTGCATCTGGTTCGACGCTTCCTTATGGTGCTCCCAGTTCGGCGCTTCCTCCCAGGATTCCCGGTTTGGCACTCACTAATGTTGGTCTTGGCTCGGCGCTTGCTCATGGTATGCACGGTTTGGCACCCCTTCCTAGGACTCCTGGCGCGGCACTCACTCCTGGTCCGGCGCTTCATCCTGGTTCGGCGCTTCCACCCGGTTCGACGCTTGCTTCCGATGTTCAGGGTTTGACGCTTCCTCCTGGTGCGCGGCGTTTGCTCCCGGCGTTTCCGGTTTGACGCTCCCTACTAGTTCGACGCTTCATCATGCTGCTTTTAATTCAGCGCTCGCTCACGGCCGTCCTGGTTCGGCGCTTACTCATAGTATTATTGGATCAACGCTCACTCCAGGGATTCCTATTGCGAGTTTCACTCATTGGCCACTAGGCTCAATGCTTACTTATGGTGTTCCTGGTGCGGTACGATCTCAAGCTACTGGAGTGGTTCATGGTTCAACGCTTCCTCAGGTTTCAGCGTTTACCACACAAGTGCCATCATCTCATGTGGGCGTGACTCAATCAGATGTATGTTCATCCTCGCTGCGTGACATACCTCATCTTCCTCTGGGGCTGCTACAATTTCATCAGTTCCTTCTGCTACAGTTTCGACGGCGAGATCTGTTTTGCCGGTTTCCTGGAATCCAGTGTCTGAGGGGGCAACGTCTCAACCTATGGACTTTGATGCCTTTGTGTTGGCGGTAGCATCAGGAGCCAGTGTCATCTCCTGTTACTCAGTCATCAGGATTTCGACTACGCCAGCGGTGCCTGTGCAAGAGATTCTACGTTCAACAACGCCGCTCTATGTCTTCAGGAAGTATGTCTCCTTCGGATGTGAGTGTGGATGCTGTTGACTCACCTCAGCTACTTATCTGGATTGCTGATGACCTCACGTTACAGCGTAGTACTTCGAAGGATGACATTTTATCCAGTTTTGATATGAAGACTGGAGACTTTGGTTCTATCATGTTCCTCCCCGACCGTGCATCACTCAGCTGACTGCGCGCCCCTGGATGAGGCTTTTGCTAGTTTGAGGAAGATTAAAGATGGTTTTGCTGCGCCTCGCTTCAACTTGGCATCGGCTCATGTACATGGATTGTCATCTATGATTGCCTCTCCTCCAGTAGATGATGATATCACGCTGTTTGGGACGAAACAGAGATTATTCGCCCTTTCTGGTCGAAGACCGTGAACTGATACATTTAGATGCGTCCATAAGGAAGATTATGGCTCCATTGAACTTAATGTTGACAACTACTGAAGCGGTGGCCATGTCTGTCGCGCATGCGCTTGCCCATCAGCAAGCATACATCCGAGTTGCAGGAACAATTCCAAACCGTCCTAGATCTCTTGGCTCATTTCTTCTTCTATGTCACGGCTATGAGGCGTAGAGGACCGTTACAATTATCATCCTGGGAAGACAGATTCAGAACGGACCTGTTTCACCCACCCTGGTCGGGCAATTCTCTGTTCAACGGGACGATTAGGGAAGTAGCGGAAAGAGTAGGGAAGGATGCCCATCTACAAGTCTCGGTCGAATTGTTGAGGTTCCAGCAACTACAAGTGGAGCAATCAATGAGACAGCGACGACCAGCTCACTATGTCCCGACTAATCCGGACCTTCGCCGGGTTCTCCACGGCTTTTTCGTGGAGGGGTTCCTACGGAAGAGGACGATCGAGTCGCCAACGAAGAACTGCCACTGCTCCACGATCAACTTCCACTACCGACCAGCCCACCTCACAGAGACGTCATAGGCAATGACTTGTTGACATTGAAAGGCCACTGGGAACTTCCACCTCCAGTCGTACCCATTCAGATTTCCCCAGTAGGAGACTGACTTGCTCCCAATTGGACAATTTTGGGAGACCCTTACGTCCTGTCCATGTTAACCAAGGGATTCCAGTTACCAGTCATCGGGAAACCTCCGCTCACAATACTTCCGGATCGCAGAACGTATCCCAAACAACAATCGGCTGTTCTGTGATCAACGATAAACACTTTACTCAAGAAACTTGCGATCGAATCCCTGGGTCCGGCCCCGACCAATCCAGGGTTCTATTCTCCAATCTTTCTGGTGCCCAAGAAGGATTCGGACAAACTGAGATTAATCTTCAACATGAAGACTTTCAACGAGAAATTTCTGCAGCCCCGCCTCATTTTCACATGATATCGGTGGCACTCCTCAAGACAATTATCAAGCCAGGAGACTGCATGGTCAGTTTGGATCTTCAGGATGCCTACCTCCACATCCCGATATTCCTGGCGATCGCGAAATTCCTTCGGGTTCATCTTCGAGGACATCCACTATCAATGGCGTGTTCTCCGGTTTGGAATTTCTTCGACCCCGTGGCTGTTTACACGGGTAACGAAGCCTATCACCAGTTTTCTTCATCGCAAGAGGACAGTGTTCGAAGCCTACATCGACGACTGCATTCAGGCACAGAACGATCATGCCCTTCTGGTTCGTCACATGCAGTTTCGCGATACAGCTTCTTTGCCAATTAGGATGGTTAATCAATCTGCAGAAATCGGAACTAGTCCCAATGTGCCGACTTCAATTCATCGGAGCTGTTTTCGACACACAGGTCAACAGAATGTTTGTCCCGAGGGATCGCTTCTGCAGATACAGCGGTTGGTCTCCCTAGCTCTAGCGCAAGCCAGGACGCCTCCGCCAATGGCAGGAACTCCTAGGCCTCTTGACGCCGGCTCAGAAGACTATGAGGCAAGTCCTGTACTACATGTAGAGAAGGTTGACATTCCGCTTACTGACCTCTACTCTTTGAGCAATCACGTCAGTGAAGTGTTGATCCCGATTACCTGTATGGTTTTCAAAGCGTTCTGCTCCTAAGTCCTTTCTCACCTTTGGTAAGTTAGGGAGATTGGTACTGAACGTTAAACTAGTTGAGCAACCAGGCTATTCCTTCTTTCACCGCCTTCCAGCGTGTGTCTGTGGGGGATACTTTCGAAGCAGGGACTGTCCAGATTAAGGTCCTGGACTTTAATTCACTGGGGTCACCTGATAAATCGCGGGTGGCGGGGGCCTCCTTGCCAAACTGGCGCCCTTTTGCTTGTCAAAAGTTGCGGCTGAAAACCACATTAACTCGGGAGAGCCCACTCCTTAGAGTTTTTGTGCTGTATAAGCCAAGGGGTTACCTGAAAAAAAAAAAAAAAAACAAAAACATCTCAAGTTTGGAGTTTGCATATCGGAGTTGGTGCTTTCTCCTGGCCTCCTTGAGTTATGCGTTTTCCCGGTGGTAGTAGTAACCGGGTAATCTGCAACCCGCCTACCAACCGTGGGATTATGCATACCGTGAGATAGGATAAGTTTAAAAATTTGAAAATTTTATAATAAATTGTATATTTATATACTTGTCCTATCTCACATGTTTGGACCCACCTGACCTGCCCCACATCACAGATTACTGGAAGCTCCAAGACGAGAATGACAAGTAGAGGTGGTCATGTGATCGTTTAGGTGAGCCGCACGCTTTGATGGATGATTGACAGGCATTGATGTCGGGGTGCAGGCAGAGGTCAGGGCGGATCAGAGGCCAGTTAGATTTGACTCAACTTAGCTGACAGCACGTTTCCACACATGGTCGTAGAAGAGAGAGATGGTGCATACCGTGAGATAGGATAAGTATATAAATATACAATTTATTATAAAATTTTCAATTCTTTGGTAAACATTGATGTATGAATTGTAGGAAGGAATGATAACTGTATTTTTAATAACATTTTTCCAAATATCAGGTCAGATTTGAAGTAGATAGTTATAGTCTAATTGTGTCCCTCTTATTTTGTATTGTATCTTTAACTTATCAAAAGGCATAAATCCATGCTCATCACATACATCTTTTACTGTCAATAAACCCTTATACGCCCAGTGTCTAATATAAGTGTTTTATGATTATGATTGAGCCATAATGGTTGTGCAAGAATGTGATCAGTATTGTCAGAATTGGCATTAACCTTTTTGCAATAATTGTTCCATGCTTTTAAACATCTTTCCAATAAGGGTTTTCAATGTTAAGTATTTTGTGAATATTTGCTCCATACTTGAAGATATCATTATAAGGTATATTGAAAGGATTATTGTCGGATGATTTTTTACAGTAATTATTGTCTAAGAGTGGATAATTTTAGAGCTTCAATAAATGTTTTTATATCAACCATACCCAGTCCCCCTTCAGCCTTTAATCTTTTCATTGTGATTCTTTTATTATATCATTATTACCATTCCAAATGAATTTGAAAAATATCTTTTCAAGAAACTTTGCTAAAACCATCTGGAGGATTAGGCAATGAGCTTAAAATATGTGCTACTTTTGAGAGGGCTAATGTTTTTATGACAGTAACCTTTCTCATCAATGTTCCTAAGGTTATATGATCAAGCTGGATTGTGTCAAATAGTTGTTTTATTTAGAGAATGTGTTATTGCCATAGATTTCAAATAGGAATATAACACACACACACACACAACACACACACACACACACACGCACACACACACGCACACACACACACACACACACACACACACACACACACACACACACACACCACAAAAACTCCACAAAATTATGACAGGGTCATAGGTAAATTTCTAATAACAAAAATTGCACTCGACTGATTTTTATGTCACTGGATGAACATTGGTTGATGGTAACTTAGTGGTAAATAAAATCATCACTGTTTAAACAAGTTCATGGTCAGCACAGGTATGGATGGTATATAGTGCCTAAATGCAAGAGGTAATTCGTTTAGAGTGTGTGATGAAGCATTTGTTGATATTTAGCAATTTCTAGAGCCAACAAAGAAACAGTACATTTTAACCATTTACAATGATCCACTCTTATATGAACCCATGAAGATATGGGTTAGAGTTGATCTTCAGTAACCCATGCTTGTCGTGAAGAGGCGACTAACAGGATCAGGTGGTCAGGTTTGCTGACTTGGTTGTCACGTCATCTTATCCCAATTGGGTAGATCGATGCTCATGCTGTTGATCACTGGTTTGTCTTGTACAGACTCGATTATTCAGAGACTGCTGCCATATAGCTGGAATAGTGCTGAGTATGGCGTAAAACTTAACTCACCTACTCACTCTTATATGTACCCTGAAATGAAAACATTGCTGATGCCTGGATTTGTACCAAAGTAGGTAAAATATCATATTTTTCACATGTATTGTCTTAACAGACTCATTGCCAGATGCAAAAGAAGGAGAAACCCATGACAAAAAGGTTATTACAATTTGAGACACTTTTAAGAAATATTATAATGGTAAGCATTCCTTTATGCTAAAGGAACATGTTTGCACTTGGTGATAAATAATTTTACTTTTCAGGAAGGGGAGAACAGACTCCAAAGAAGAGTAGATGTGATGACACCAAGAAAGGTATTAGCTGATGGGTATAGTATATGGGACTAATAAACTCAAGATGAATCATAATTTGGTATGCAAATGCTAAGTATGAGGTTGTGTCAGTTTCTCATTTGGCTTCAGATATGGCATTTTCTCACGTCATTCATTTTTCTGAAATGGTTTATTGTCTCAGTTGATAAATGCTACATTTGTACATACATTGAAGAATATTTGTGATACTCATGAAAATGTGTATGTGTGTGTGGGGGGATACTAGAAGGTACAAACTGTAAAAGAACTGGAGCTATAGGCCTCATTTTGTGATCTTGAAATTTTGAACAAGAAGGGCAGCTAACTGCATATCTATTGCACTGTCTCAAAACCACCAAAATGAGATCAGTCTTGAAACATTTGTAAAAGAAACATGAATGTTTTGTTTTGTAACAGTGTAACGATGCAACATGTTACATCTTGGTGCAGAATAGAAAAAGTGGATATGTAATGTCC